AGACAGGTTTTAACAAGTTGAGGGACAGAGAAAATACTAAAGCATAGTTATTTCAAATATTTATTATAAGTAACAATAATCTGAAACTAATAGTGACTGTACAAGAAGGGAGACATCCACGACATTGGCAACTATCACCCCATCTGCCTATTATCTGTCATCTACAAGCTGTTCACTCAAGTCATCCTTAATAAGATTGGCAGAATATTAGATGAAGGACAACCAAGCGAGCAAGCCGGGTTCGGAAAAGAATTCAGCACGATTGACCATATCCACACGATAAACAAGCTCATTGAGGTTTCTCAGGAGTTCAAGATGCCGCTCTATCTAATGTTGATTGATTTAAAGAAGGCCTTTGATTCTGTTGAGACGGAAGCAGTCATCAAGGCCCTAGCCAAATAGGGAGTTCAAACTCAATACATCAGGATCCTTTGTGAGCTGTATTACAGATTCACTAACAGGATCTCACCATTCTACAAAGAAGTGATCATCCACGTCAAGAGAGGGGTTCAGTAGGGTGGTACCATTTCACCAAAACTCTTCAGTGCCACCCTCGAGAACATCATGCAATGACTGGAATGAGAAGGAATGGGAGTGAAGATAGATGGTCGGCAACTACACCATCTTCGCTTTGCTGATGACATCGTTCTAATAACACCAAACATTAGTCAAGTGGCACAAATGCTGGCCGACTTCAACCATGAGTGTAGAAAGGTCGGACTCCAGCTGAATCTCACGAAGACAATGTTTATGAGAAACAGTCTCGTTCCTGATGTTCCATTCGCTCTCAATGGAATGACCATCTCCAAATGCAACAGTTATGTGTACCTAGGTTGAGAAGTCAACATGACGAATGACCTGGCACCTGAATTGCGCAGGAGGAAGAAAGCAGCTTGGAAGGCCTTCAAGAGTGTTGAAGAAATAGCCAAGAGGACAATGAACCTCCGGCTCCGGGCACATGTCTTTGATCCCACTGTTCTTCCTGCATTAATATACGCTTCAGAGACCTGGGCCCTACGAATAGAGGATGAGAACTCGATTTGGGTCTCCCAAAGAGGAATCAAAAGAGCTACGCTTGGAGTATCACGTTTCACTCAAATGAGAGAAAGAATTGGGAGTTCCGAACTCCGTAGACGATCAGGAATCAGGGACCCTGTCTCGTTTGCCAAGTCATCGAAAATCAGATGGGCTGGACATGTAATAAGATTTGGAGACCACCACTGGACTAGAGCCGTTACCGACTGGATTCCACAGGACGTCAAAAGACCACATGGCTGCCCACCTACAAGATGGTCAGACTTCTTTGTCAAGACCCTAAACGATTGGTTTGAGGCTCTTCGTGTTCCTAGAACGAACAGACGCCATTGGGCTACACTAGCACGCAACAGGAACAAATGGAGACATTACTGGTGCTCGCTCGAGCAAATCCATGATTAATGGGAAGTCAAGTGATCAAGTGAATAGTGACATGGAGAAAAATGTATTTTATGTTAAAATTCTTGTCTAAGGGCAAAATAACTTTATTATGAAATATTGTAAGCACATATTAAAAAGAAAGTACTATGGAAACTTCAGTATACTATCACCTATATTTTACTGTTCACTTTTTGCCACATTCCTATATAAAATCTAAAACAATTTCCTTATATTGTGACCCTTCATTTCTAAAAGTAGTACTCATTTCTAGTGACCTTTTTTATATAACCATGATATCATTATGACACCTACCAAGATAATGATAATTCTTTATTATTATTTGCTATCCCATCTGTATTCAGATTTGCCTGATGGTCCCCAAATGCCTTTTTACGGTTATCTTTTTATTATTATTTTATTATTATTATTTTCCCCCTTTTTATTGATTCACCGTGAGATACAGTTACAAAACTTTCATGTTTGAGCTTTGGTCATACAATCATCAAACACCCATTCCTTCACCAGTGCACATTTTCCACCACCAAAATCCCCAGTATTCCTCTGTCCCCCTCACCCCATTCCAACCCTTCCCCTGCCTGTGTGGCAGACAATTTCCCCCATACTCTCTCTCTACTTTGGTTAATTCAATATTTCGACACCAGTTCCACCACCACTCAAACCTACCGAAAAAGCAATGCTAGATGATTTGTTTTGTATTGTTTGTTATGGATAGAATATAATGTCCAGGAAATTCTGTGCCGTTCTTTTCTGGGAACTTTAGTTTATAGTCTCTGGGTCTTGGCCGTCGATGAGATTACATGGCAGCCAGGGGCAGTTTGTGGGTGTGACTGCCAAGCTTTTGGAAGCCTTGGGGGAGGAGGCCCAGTCCTGATCCAAGGGGGCTTGGGGATCTCAGCCATGGTCCTAACTGCGTCTTTTGATCTCTTTCAAGATTTATGGGTCTCTGAAATAAGGCGAATAAATGAGCCTATATAACTGAGCCAGAGGTGGTTTGTGAGTGTGGCTCGCATTTACCTGGCATTTGCCATTTAATTTCAGGTAAATTTGGCCCCAAGTTGTTGGGATCTGGCCAAAGACACAGCAGCAAATTTGGGGGTATCTGGAATTCTGAAGGCACCATCAGGCTGCTGATGCACTCGCCTCACAAATACAGATTGACCTGCTGGCGACACCATACCCCCACTTTTCACAGTTATATTATTCAAGCCAACCTCACCCATATTTTGATGTGACATTTCTTAAAATCTCTTTTATGTCTAAATACTCCCAGCTTACTGCAATATAAAAAAACAAGAACATAAAATTAAAATAATCCAAACTTTTAGGACTATTAGCTACTTGAGTGATGATAAACAGATTGCAGAATGATGTACAATGTGGATCTGTTGATTCTCTGTGTAGTATCCCTTAACTTGCTCTCCAGACACTCATAAGTAGTTTGATCTAAAGATTCCATGATGTACAAATTTAGCAGTGATGTGAGCAGTTCTACATCATGCTGAGCAGTCCACTTTATAATTTGTCATGAAGAACATAGCCAAATTGAATAATCTTAGAGATACTGAGTTTGATCAATGAGTTTAGATAGTGGCAATCTAGCCCATCTAAGAGAGGTAAGTTATCTACATGATGATACTTTCTATTTGGGAAAATTATTTAACTTAAAGGTGAAAGTAAACTAACAGTTATCTTGAAATTAATAAAATGAGAACGTTGCATCTTAAGAAACCACAAAAACATACACAAAACAACAGAAAGAATGAATTTGTTTAAAAAATTAAAATACAAAGCGGCTCTCTGGCACGGTCATGCTCCAGAAGCACAAGGACTTAATGCAGAGCCCAGCAGCTTGCGGCAGAAAAGTGAACAGACTGTGCGTTAATCCACAGCACCATGCCTGCCCGGGAGGGAAAGGGTGTTGCTCCCTTCTGCCTTTTTCCCCCTGGACAGGAAGATGGCGGCCGCCTCGGCGCTTTTTGCAAAGCCAGGTATGAGCCTCTGGTGACAGGGCAACTGAAACCTCATGGGAAGGGGGATGTTCCCGGCTCGTCCTTCACGCCCTACTGAGGTCATGGGTTGCCCCCCTCGAGTGGCTCTCCGGCACAGTCATGGCTCCAGAGCCACAGAAATCAATCTCATAATTATCTGGTTCTAGGCTGAAATATTTCCAGGCTTAATAAGTAAAATATCAGAAATACAAAATTGCACGACTGCCATTGCTACCGCAGGACATCATTTGGTTCTTGTAACCAGCTGTAGAAAACAAATTATTTCACAATGCCTTTTCAGCAGGTCTGATTTGGGAGATGCAAACTGTAAATAATAATGGTACTTGTTGAAACAATGAATCTAATCAAAGTAGATAGAGTGTTAACTTTCATCTGCCTCACAGGCATTGGGAGGGGTGGGAGGAGGGTTATATTGGGGTTCTTGGTGGTGCTGATAAGTTCTGGTGAAGGGAAATGTGGTTGATGATTGCATGACTGAGACTTAAACCTGAAAGCTTTGTAACTTTTCCCATGGTGATTCAATAAATAAATTTTTAAAAAATCAAAATAAAAAAAAACCTTGAGGACTATAGCAACAGTACAGTGGATAGGGGGAAAGGATGCTTGTCTTATACACAAGTGACTTGAGTTCGATTCCCTAGCATCCTATCTGGTCTAATGAGCAGTGCCAGGAGTATTCCTGAGTAGAGATCCAGGAATGAACACTGAGCATCATTGAGTGTGTGTGGGCACCCCCCCCCCCCACAACAACAGACAAAAAAAGAAACAACATCTACTGAGTCAGGAAAAATATAATTTTGATCGCAAAACCAAACAAAATGTATGACAGGCAAAATTCATTAAGAAGAAAAATATTAGTAGAAAGCTTACCTCTGTGGAGGGAGTGGGGAATAGGTGAAGGGAGGGATCCCTAAGACAATGATACAGGGAAGTGGTCACTCTGGACCAGGATTGGGTGGTGAAAGAAAGTAAAGTGGTATATGCATGATAACTTATTAGTAACAGTGTTGCAAGCCACAGTGCCTTAAAGAGAATAAAGGAGAAATTTTAAAAATCCACCATAAAGGGAGGCTGTGGGGCGGGAGGAAAATGCAGGAAGGAGACTGGTGGAGGGAAGTGGACACTGGTGAAGGGATCAGTGTTCGCTTTACCTCTGAAGCTCAATTATGGATCACTTGATAATTTACAGTGACTCAATAAATTAAAATTTTAATAAGTAAAAGTAAGTAAAAGTAAAGGCCCTCCCATTGATCATCAATTTGGTCGAGCAGGCCCAGTAACGTCTCTATTGGAGACTTTTTTGTTACTGTGTCTGGCATATTGAATACGTCACGGGGAGCTTGCTGGGCTCTCTGAGAGGGGCGGAGGAATCGAACTCAGGTCGGCCATGTTGGCCGCGTACAAGGCAGACACCCTACCCACTGTGCTATCGCTCCAGCCAAAAAATTTTAATTTTAATGAAAAAAATTATTTTGAAATATTGGGATGAAAAGAAAAAATAGGTGGTATAGCTAAATATTCAAAATAGAGTCAACAACACTGAAAACAAAGAGATTCAAACCAACAAATTTTATTATTTCCCCCCCCCATCTCACAGACAGCTTTATAAACATGAAGGATGCCCAAGAACAAGGAACCACGTGCTTGGACAACCTGAGCCTGATTAACAAACTAATTTTAAAATGTGCCTGTTAAGGTGGCAGGCTGGGGGTTGGGGGCTGGGGGAGCTAGGGGAGGTTCTAGGGGTGGGAGACATGGGTAACCCTGGTGGAGGAACTGGTGCTGAAACATAGTAAGAATAACTTTATAAATCACGGTGCTTTGATTTAAAAAAATTTTAAGTGAGGAAAAAATTAAAGTAGGCTTTCATTGAAGTCAAACAGAAAAAAAAAGAAAAAAAATACAAGCAAATAAATAAAAGAAATATGACAACTATGAGAAAAAAATTTGAGTGACCAGATTGGTTGCAAGAGAAAATTTTAAATGTGAATTAGCCAATACAAGAAATTCACCTATTAAAATAAGATGAGGAAAGGCAAAGTGTGTCTATTAATGAATGTAATCAAGCAGCAGAAAATTGAAAAATGAAAAAATTAAGAAAATTAAAGCTAACTCATATAATAATTGCTATGAGCCTGACATTATTCTAATAACCTCAAGTAAATTTTTTAACTTCAATGAATACTACAAAGGTACTTGCTGAAATTTAATCCTTTTTCTGACTAAAATGATAAAAGGAGGCCAGATAGATAGCCCAGGTGTTAGGGTGGATGCCTTGCATAGTGACACGAGTCACCAGATTCATGGTCTCCCTGGCATTTTCAGGTGCATCCCTGGGGCTCTTCCTCCACCACTGGAGTGACCCAAGAGGTCTCTAGCACGTAGGGTGGCCAGTAAAGTTCTAAAAAACTTTCAGCTCATTCGCTGAAAGTGGCCAGGAGGCATCACAGCCTACTCCGGAGCACTGTATTCCTCTCCATCTCCAAAGGGAAAAAAATCACATATTTTAGGAATAAAAAGAAACGTTGCTATTGAAAAAACATTCAGCACTTGCCATTTAATATGATACTCATAGTACTCATAGTGCTAATGGTTGCCCTTAACAGATTAACCAAAGTAATGTTTACTCCTAGATTACTAAAGTATTTGTACATTTTCAATAAAAAATTAACGTTTTGTTTAATTTAATGTTCTATATCTAAACAATTTATATCCATAGATATTTTATTGCAATTATTTACTTATTAATGCAGATACTTAAGAAGTAGTGATAATATACTTTCTAACATAACATAAAGACAATATTCCTTTTCTTAGAACAAAATACTTGGTACTTTTATAAGCCTATTTAAATTTTCTCCTTTAAATTTTCTTAATTCTTTTAACTCTTACTAAATTTTACATTGATAGGTTGTACTTATTTCATGTAAACCCAAAAATATATTAGCACAGAATTTTTCTAAAAGCTTTATTAATGAGAGAGAAGATATGATAATTATCACAATGAGATCTATGTACAAAAATAAAATTTAATGCAATACACTTTAGATGTCATATTTGAGAATTTACTTATGTTAATGAGAATAAATTATATTGTATTAAATAATCTGAATTTTTACATAGTTAAAAGTCACATAGAAATCAATCATCACAAACTGACTTTCACTGGTTTATTTTCCGAGAATTCCATTTAAAGTAAATTTTTATGTGCCTGAGAGGAGTAAGGAACATTGTATGCCTAAAACAATTGTATTATGAATTCACACTATATTTGTAATTTGTATTATGAATTCACACTGTATTTGTAATTTGTATTTGTAATTCACACTGCCTTAATAAAAGCAAATTTTAGAAATCATATTTTTAAAGTACTGGAAATCCACAGCAAGTCTTCCACTTGATTGTGGCATTAGAACTTTTTTTTTTCATTATATAGTTTTTATTTCACAAGATCCAATAACTATATATTTCTTTTTCTTTTTTTTTATTAGTGAAACACCATGAGGTACAGTTGCAGACTTACAAACTTTTGTGCTGGGGTTTTCATTATACAATGATCAAGTACCCATCTCTCCACCAGTGCCCATTCTCCACCACCAATGATCCCAGTAGCCCTCCCACCCTCCTACCCCATCCACCCCCACCCCACCCCACCTTTGTGGCATTCCCTTTTGCTCTCTCTTTCCTTTAGAGTGTTGTGGTTTGCAATAGAGGTATTGAGTGGAAATAATGTTCCGTTTATAGTCTACTTTCAGCACGCATCTCGCATTCAGAGTGAATCCTCCAAACATCCTTTACTTGGTGTTCCCTTCTCTATCTGAGCTGCCTCTTCTCCCAGCATATGTTGCCGGCTTCCAAGCCATGGAGCAGACTACTGGTACTTATCTCAATTATTCTTTGGTGTTCGTCTCCCATTCTGTTACTTATTATTCCCCAGATAAGTGAAATCGTTCTATGTCTGTCCTCCCTTTCTGGCTTTTAGCATGGTACTTTCCATGTAGAACCACGTGTATGTAAATTTCATGACTTCATCTTTTCTAACAGCTGCATAGTATTCCTTTGTGTAGATGTACCAAAATTTCTTTAACCGGTCATCTGTTCTCGGGGATTTGGGTTTTTTCCAAATTTTGGCTATTGTGAACAGTGCATCAATGAACAAGTGCAGGTGTCATCTCAACTGTACTTTTTTGCCTCTCTCAGATATATTCCCAGAAGAGGAATATATTGCTGGGTCAAATGGGAGCTCAATTTCTAACTTTTTAAGGATTGTCCATACTGTTTTCCAAAAGGGCTGAACCAATCGGCATTCCCACCAGCAGTGAAGGAGGGTCCCTTTCTCACCCCATCCGTGCCAACACCGGTTGCTTCTGTTCTTTGGATATATGGGTCAGTCTCTGTTGTGTGAGATGATATCTCATTGTTGTTTTGATCTGCATCTCCTTGATGATTAGTGATATAGAGCATTTTCTCATGTGTCTTTTAGCCATTCGAATTTCTTCTTTGAGAAAGTTTCTGTCCATTTTGTCACTTTTATCAAACATCTGAGACTCAAATCAAGATAATTTAAACAAAATGCATTTCCATTAGTAACTTGGAATCTGCGGGGAATTTGACTGAAACACCTGCACTGTAAGTGTTTCTACATGGGGTACAAAAGAATATTCCATTCACACTTTTGAAATAAGGACATATTCTGGTCATATAAACTAAGATTCAATTTATCAAAACATTGTAAGTGCATTCATCTTCAGAAAAACAACTGTGTGTAGAGTTTTTGTTTTCTTTAATTTCTTGCAGTTGACTCAACATGATTATGAATCTACAGAACTCCAGAAAACCCTTTTATGCTCTCAGATGAACATGCCTGCTTGTCCTCATTTTCTGTCTTCCACCCCGTCATCCCTGGCTCAAAGCTTGCTTTTGCTCCCAGTGAGGTTTTGCCTGAGAAATTTCTGTATCTCTGCCCAGGCATGCTCCTGAGCTGCTGCATGGGCCTCAGGCTGCCCGCCCCAGAGTAGAGGACTGGGAAAACCAGGGCTCCAAGAAGCATAGCACAAGGGCGAGTAGGGGGGCTCTATGAGGTGGCCAGCCCCGGGATATGCCAGTATCCTTCCGTTACTTTTTCCATGACTTCGCAACTGGCGCAAGCTCTGCTCTGCACAGTCTTTACTATTGACACATTGGTCATCTTCTCCTACAATGAAGAGGATCTGACCGTGGGCCTTTTCAACAGGAATTATGCTCTTCTGATTGTATTCATCCAAACCTTCCCACTTGTACTGGCGGAAGATCAAATTGCCAAAGGAATCGAACTGCAATCGCTCGGGACTGGGGATGGCGCCTGGAATAGTTAGATCCCTGTATCTGTGTGGCGATGGTTCATTGGCGGTAGTGGGCCCATTGATGCAGACTGTAGCTACTATTTGTTTCAGGAAACAGGCCATGGATAGGGCAATCTCTGCACCTTTGCTCACGCCTACAACTCCGACACCAGGTCCTTGGATCTGAATCACAACACAAAAAAGAACCTATTACAGGGGCCTAGCAGACCTTCAAAAGACTAGTGTGTAAATAGTGCATGCCAGAGGTCTGGTTGAATCTGGTGTTGACTCAAATTAGAGACAAAGAAAATCTTTATAGGACATACTCTGTGAAAGAGTTGTCCTACAGGCCAGAAAAGTAGGAGAAGAAAGGTAGCGGGGAGAGGAGTGGGGTGTGGGGAGGAGAGGAGGGCATCAGTATGATTTAATAGTTTGGAACAAAGGCATTGCCAGAGGGGTTCTACAATTTAAAGGGTGTACAGTATTGGTACACTACGTGGCGTAGTGTTTCTTATATGGAAAATGACTATTGCAACATAGGACTTACTACAGAAAGTCATTGTGCTAGGTGACATAATGCATATAAAATATTTAGCATGGAGCCCAACAAAGAGCTATTCAATAATAGATATGATTGTTGTACCACTGTTGGAGTAAATTGTAAGAAAGAGTGGACATTTCACATTTACGAATGGGAAAACAAATAATTTTACATGGTTTCACTTAATAGCACATCAACTTCAATATTTGATCATGTAATACTTGTTCCTACTTTATCTTTTTATTCATCACCATAAACATCAAACATTTGGGACCTCTTCAAGAGAGCTAAATAATTTCTAAGTGGCTAAATTAGCTAAAGAGTGGTTAATAAATTGGGGTTAGAGAGATAGTACATCTGTTAAAACCTTAGTGCTGCACATAGTAAACCCAGATTGGATCCTGGGCACACAGATTTGGATCCCCCAATTCTGCCAAGAGGGATCCCTGAGCACAGGGCTAGGAGTAAATCCTGAGAACAGCAAGGAATTTCCCCAAAACAAAAACAAAACAAACCTAAAAATCTAAATCATAATTAATACCTTAGTATTTAAATATTGATATTTAATACCTAAAATGGTTAGGAGATGTCCTGTTCAGTCCTTCTAGAACTGTAAAATGCCCATAGGAATCACTGGGGGATATGATTCAAAAGCATTCACATATTGAGGGACAGGACTGGTGGAAGCCTCTGGCTCATGCTGCAATAATGCAGCAGCAATGTTGGAACTGGTTCAGAATGACGCTCACATTTCAGATTGTTTTCCCTGGCCCGAGTCCTAGTACTGGAGCTTGATTCTGTGTCCCTGGATCAGAAACTGTGTAAATAGCTGATTGGTTGATTAGTTTAGCTAGTTAACTGGTACAGCAAAATTCAGTCTTGCTGCTGCTGCTCACTAATACTAAAGGTAAAGGTAAAGGCGCTCCCGTTGATCATCGATTTGCTCGAGCGGGCCCAGTAACGTCTCCATTGGAGACTTTGTTGTTACTGTGTCTGGCATATCGAATACTCTCGGTAGCTTGCCGGGCTCACTAATACTACACTCACTAATAGTGCCCCAGGACAAATACTGAATTTTGCCTTGTTTTTAGACTCAAGACTCTAGTATAACTGACTCGATTACTACCTTATGAAGTGATCGTCTTTGAAGTTTGAAGACATGTCAAAACATTAAAAAGCCACTGATACAACATCACAAGCTGTTTAAATTTAGTTTGGTTTGGAGGCCACACCACGGTCCTGACTTTTTCTCCCAAGAAAATAATCATTATCTATCCACCTCTAACTTTTGGAGGGAAGTGTCAGAAGGCCGTAAACTGTTCAATAATCGTTCCAATAACCCTACAAGGTGAATAAATATTATCATTTTCAGTTTAACTGAAAAATCTTCTATGTCCAGTCTAAACAGATTGGGAAATAGACACCTGTTATTTCTTTTTCTGTAATATTGCAAGGAAAATAAAAAGCACTTCAGTTACCTTGGGATGTGCTAGTAGAAAGTTGGCAGCTTCCTCAAAATACTCCAAGTCCACCTCCAACAGATCACTGGGCAGATCTTCAAAGTTAAAATAGGCCAAGGCCAGCACAGCAAAGCCATGGGAAGCCAAAAGACTAGCTCGAAATTCAATCAGACCCCCTATACCTCCAAATAAATCTATGACTCCAGGAAAAGGGCCTTCTCCTGAGAGCAACAGAGAGAGAGAATGGGGTTAGAAAGAGGAAATGGTAGTCAAGAAAACAGTGGTTAATTACATGGTGAACAAATGAATTCCACCTTATCTCCTCTCTCTCTCTCTCTCTCTCTCTCTCTCTCTCTCTCTCTCTCTCTCTCTCTCTCTCTCTCCCTCATTCTCTGTTTCACACATAGAAGCATGTTTTTATTTATTTATTTATTTTGGTTTGGGGGCCACACCTGGAAGTGCTTAGGGGTTGCTCCTGGTTCTGCACTCTGGACCAAGAACCAGATGGAATGCTGGGGATCAGGCCCAGGTGGGCCTTGTGTAAGGCAAGCCCCTTACTTGCTGTATTACCTCTCCTTCTTACACATTTGTTTTAAAATATTGAAGGCACGGGGTCAGAGAGAGAGACACACATGGGTGGGTAGAGAGCTTGCAGGTGGTTTTCTTGGATTCAATCCTGGTATGGCATACAGTCCCTGAAGAACGCACAGGACTGATGCCTAAGCACAGAGTCAGGAGTACACCCTGAACGCCCACTAAGTGTAGCCCAAATGCAAAAAAATGTTGGAGAAAGAGTCCCGGAGGGAAAATCTCTAAGCACAAAGTCAAGAATAACTATCCCCTGCAAATCCCAAAATGAAGATAATAGGGGTGAAAGCCAAGGATGCAACTCAGTGGTGGATCATATGCCTTTCAGTGTGAGGTCCTAGTACCATCCTCAGACACCACAAATAAATAAAAACTAGTAGCGAAATGCTGGTTCTCCAGTGAAAGGACATATTTGCTTCAGACTTTGTTTTTCCATCAACAATGTTTCCTCTACCACAAAGGTCCTTCTCACCTGGAGGAAGGAAAAACGCTCCTCTCAATCTTCCTTCTCGCATCGGCATCCGCTGCACCTCAGGGACTGAGTACCAGCGCTTCACTGTCGTTTTGGCCTTGGGCTCAACGCCTTCTGCTGTATGCGTCAACACTGACTCATAAAGTTCCAGAGTAACCTCAAAGGGGGTGTTCATCACATCCTTCTTTATCAGCCTCCGGAAAACCTTCTCGGGCTTCAGGGACCAGAAGAGCCCCATTGGATGGACTCCCACATAGTCACCTCCAAGAGCTGGAGCCTTTGTGAGGTCCAGCTCGCCATATTCATCTGCCCTGTAGAAGGCTCTGGACTGGAATGGCAACCCTTTGTCATCCTTTAGAGATGCTACGAGGGTCACCACCTCTGATGGAGGCAGACCTGTTGCCCGGATGTGCACAGGCACATCCACAAGGGCACTTTCTGGAGTGGCTCTCAGCTGGAACATTGACAATTGGCGAAGGTACCCAGTAGTACTTCCTGCCCTGAGGTGGGAGAGTAAATATGGAGTTAAGAGTCTTTAAATGACAAAGCAAATGTCCCGACAAAACTTAGCCAAACTAAAAGCTGAAGTGATAGCATAGCAGTTAAGGCACTTGCCTTGCATGAGATCTGCCCAGGTTTAATCCCCAGCACCCCATGTGATCTCTCAAGCCAAACCAAGAGTGATCCCTGAGAAAGCGCAGAGCCAGGAGTAGGCTCTGAGCACTGCTGAATGTGTTAAATAATAAAAATAATAGCAATAGTAATGAGCAAATAAGCAAAAAAAAAAAAAGCCTAGCCAAGTTAGACTTCTGGAGACTTGGCACAAAATGTAATGATCCTTTAAGGAGGGGGATAGATGGCATGTACTCATTGTTGTCCTTTAACAAAGAAAACTGGAATAGTGGCATGCTCTAAGTCATAAATAATTAACAGCAGAATTAGATAATCATGGTCTTGTCCTGTATAATACTGTGTTACCTTATCTGTGTGATTTGGGCACCACCTAACTTTTATTTCTCCGTGAAAATAATTCCATATGACCTTTTTTCACAGGTGTTTATTAGGAGTCAAGAGAATCATGCGTGATAAAGGGCTTATGGAAAGGATCAGTTTTCAACCCTGGAGTAGGATTACTCAAACAAGAAAGACATTGTGCTGCTGTTTTATGTAAAGATTTGTCCCTGCCACTGTAAGACCCATCTCCCTTCATCTATTTTCAGTTTCCATTTTAAGTTCTTAATCGCTGTCACTGTCACTGTCATCTCGTTGTTCACCGATTTCCTCGAGCAGGCACCATCAATGTCTCCATTCATCCTAGCCCTGAGATTTTAGCAAGTGCCACATTGGGGGCTCTTTCAGGGTCAGGGGAATTCGACCCATCATTGTTACTGGGTTTTGGCATATCATGTATGCAATAGGAGCTTGCCAGACTCTGCTGTGCAGACAGGATACTCTTGGTAGCTTGCAGGGCTCTCTGAGAGTAAGAACTAGACAATAAGAGGTCTCGACCACGCTTCCGGGAGCTTGGTTTTATAGTCTCTGGATCTAGGCAGTTGATGGGATAGCAGCGCCAGGGGCAGTTGGTGGGTGTAACTGTCTAGCTACTGGGGGATCTGGGTGGAGGAGGCCCAGTCCCTATCCAAACAGGCTTGGAGATCTCAGTTAATTATTAAGTTCTTAATAATAATCATATTATTAATTTATAAATAACTATTATAAATTATAAATAACTGTTATGATTATTATTGTCATTTTGTAAAATGGTTACAATAATGTTAACTTACAGAGATTTGATAAGCAAAGTTACTGCACCTTCATCACCACTAAAATGCCCAAAACCCTCAACCAATTTCTTTGTGTCACCCCCACCCTGTCCCTGCCTCCACTCCTTCCCCCCCTCTGCTTGATTATCTCAGTTATTCATTCAAAGACCAAGAGTTTGTCCTCGCTAGATATTGTTCATTCCCTTATGCTTCTCTGTATACCTCAGATGAGTCTGATTATCAGCTATTTGACCTTCTCCTCCTGACTTATTTCACTTAACATGCCCTCCAACTTCATATTTGTTCTTTTAAAGGGAAAAAAAACCTTTATAATCTTATATCTGTGTTTAGGTCTTTTCAATGAAATAATAAATGTCAAAACATTGTTTGTAGTAAATATATTGTTAAGAAGTCATTTTGTACTCTGTTGTTCCATCTTGAGAAAAATGAGCTCTTCTCTTTTCTCTTCTTTCCATCCTCTCCTTTTTCTCTCATTCTTTTTCTCCTTTCTTCCAGACCTCATTCTACAAAGTATCTGAATCAATGTGCCCATGTGCACTACATGCGAAGTGAAATAAAAACAAAATAAATGTAAGAAAATATTAACTAAAATAACAGATATAGAACAGAGAAATAAAACTGAAAGCCAGCACATAGTATGGCAGGTAGGGGACTTACCTTGCAGCTCACCCAGCTATAATTCGCAACACCCATATGGTTCTCCAAACCCTGCCAGGAGTGATCCCTGAGTACAGAGTCAGGAATAAGCCCTGAGCATGGCCGAGTATGGCCCCCAAAGCCAAACAAACCAAAGAATTGGTTACTGAGGCAAGAGAGATAATACAGTATGTAGGGCACTTGTCTTGCACACAATAAATCTGAGTTCAATTTCCCAGCACCCCATATTGTCCCCTCAGTACTGTCAGGAGTGATCCCTGAGTACAAAGCCAGGGATAAGCACTATGCACATCAGGATGTGACTCATAAAGAAAAACTGAAAAAAAAAAATAACTATCTGACTCAATTTCCATGATTTCACAATTCTTTGTTACTATTCCATTTCTCAAAACTTCTGTACAATGTCAATATCAATGTATTGATTCAACTGATTTAATGTATTGATTCAATGTATTTTTTCAACTTTATTTTCACATTGAATGGTTTACCATAATTTGTTCATGTGTTCTGAATCTGATCTTTATCCCCTCTGCCACTAATCCCACATAAGAATGCCAATTACTAAAGAGCAGCAATGATTTTCCTCTTTCAAGAGGCCACTGATATACAATAAATACACATATGCGTTTAGGACTTGAGATATTTTTATCAGGAGTAGAACAACTAGTGCAAATATATAATCAAAATGTAATTCTTATAAAATGCTTCTTTCACAGAGAATGGCTAGAGTACCTTCCTGGGACATGGTTCGAGAATCTATAGCCCAGAGATGATCACTTAGCATCTCTATGAATGCCTGTGATCTCAACCTAGGAACCACTGCTGATTGCATCAGGGCTGGTACACAATCTAAATCACAATGTGCTCAAGATACTTTCCTTGTATTTAAAATTGGGATACAGCCTGAGTTCATGGCTCCCTGAGAAATGGGTGGTCATGGATCATCTCCCATGCCATGCAGAACAAATGTACTTCAGGTACAGCTTGGTGGCTGCCTCATGGGACTAGCAGCACATGAGTGTCTATGCCATGTAGGTGCTGCTGGGAGACTTTACCAGTCCTGATTCACACCAGGCATTTACCCAGGCAGCTGAGAATATTCTAACAGTGAGGTAGATGCTACTTCCTTCACTTCCCTCTTTACCAATACTTGTGCCACACAAATGTATACACCTACATAACAATTCTAATAACATATTTGGGTCCTAACAATGTTATTATAAAATGTGCTCCAAGGGATTATATATAATGTTTTCAACTTGCTTTCCTTTTCATTTGCTTTTTAGTAAAACTGGCTTTTAAGTCAATAGTGATTTAAAAATGAAAGAAAGAAAATTGGGAACCTTCCTTTCCTAGCCTCATCCTCCCTTCATCTTTCCCATTTCTTGTCATTAGGGTCTTCTCTTTCTTTTCTTGATTCTGAAGCACTTGGTTTTAAGTATGTATGCTGGTAACTAGGCTAGCAGGACACATTAGAATAATTGAATAAGATTTTAGTCAACTATCACACATGTCATAAAATATAACCTTTTCGTTTCTATATTTAGAATAAATTCTCTTTTCAGTCCATGTTTCTCCAGGTGGCAGGGATACAATCACAGAACAATCTGCTTTTCCTTGGTCTCCACCTAACTTCCTCTTGACTTCTACACAGAGCTGGAAGTTAAGGCCGAACATTGGTTTGGTCTTTCTCTCTTGCCACAGGGAACTTAGGTTTATTGAGTTACACCCATCACAGTGCTCCTGAGGCACTCCCATTTCTCTGTGTTTATCTTTAACTTCTCCTCTATGCTCTGCTTCCCCTATCTGTCAGTCACCCATATCCCCAAATCAGACCCTGTAATTTGTAAGGTCAGATCCTGGATTTTGTAAGTGAAATGTTGCTTTTTCTTTACCTTGTATCCTTTACTTAGTTTACTTTAGAGTTAATATCCTTTCTTTATAAACACAGCACTGTAGCACTGTAGCACTGTCCTGCTGGTTTTCATCAATTTGCTTGAGTGGGCCCAGTAACGTCTCCATTGTGAGACTTGTTGTTACTGTGTTTGGCATATTGAATACGTCATGAGTAGCTTGCCAGGCTTTGCCATGCGGGCAAGATACTCTTGATAGCTTGAGGGCTCTCTCAGAGGGGCAGAGGAATGGAACTCGGGTCAGCCAAGTTGGCTATGTGCAAGGCAAACGCCCTACCCGCTGTGCTACTGCTCCAGCCCATATGTTTTTGTAACGTGGGAGTTGATTGACTCCGAATAATATTTACTCCTGGGCATCTGTCATATTTACTCAACTTAAGCCTCCGTTGCCCTTAGGTACTAGCACCCAAAAAGCAGAGTCCTGATGAAGGACTGGATGGACCCATAAGTTACCCTGGCATCAAAATGGGACAGGCTAAGTGTCATAAGACTTATAATAAGTTAAGAGGATGGTTATGGACTAATTTTGTCATGACCAAAAGAGAAGTGACTGGACAAGGACCCTTCAGGGATTAAGGACAACTAATTGGCCTGAGGACTGTAGTCTGGGATCTATAGCAAGATGTCCCCAGGAGAGCCTCCCTATAAGATTAGTATATCTCTTACTGTGTCCATACAAAATGACTAGAAAGATTACTAAGAAGTAAGTAAATCTACAATGATAGTTTATGGACTAAGGAAAGGAGAAGTATGTCCTTAGGTGAAATTCTGCTCTTCAGTGGATATCTTTGGTGGATGAGAATTTGTCCTAGAAGAAGCTTCCCCTGGGGCAAGGACTTTACGTCTGTTGATCGTATAACCACACCTATGTGCAGTTGCTACCCTCACCCTCAGAGGGTAGCATCTCAGGCTGCAGGACTGGACACGGAGAAAGTAGCATGAGGGAAAGGTGGAGATGGGAATGAGGGGCAATGTAAGGCTGGAATGGGGCCCTCAGTGAGACTGGAACAGGCTGTGAGGACAACGGAATAAACAGCAGGACTGAGATTGGAGTAAATGGCGACTGATCACTAAGCAGCCTGGCATCCCTTGTTCCCTTCTTTATTTGTCTGTTGGCAGTGGCTGGAGGCCAGGGTGGGGAAGCAG